GGGATTGAGTGATTAACGTGTCCACATTAAACACTGTATTGTTATGTCTCGAGTCTAGCTGGCGGTGCTGGTGGTACCAATTAAGGTGAGATCGAAGCTGCAGTCCATTCAAGTGTGGAAGCGGATGCTTTTCTCGGAAAGCAAGAATATGCGAAATCCATTGTATGAAAAGTTAACTGCCAGTGCCCGATTCACCTTAAACGAAATTGTATGAATTTCCAGCATAACCATCCGATCGACTGGAAATCGCTAAAACCTACTCACAAACGAAAGATACGTGATTGCCCGACTAAACATTCCACTAAAAACTGGGATCTGGAAGAGCGGTTGACTGAAGTGCTGGGCTCGATTCCCGTTGGAGATGATGTTGATGACTACGTCGATTTGAGGTGAGATGCGACCTACAGGACATCCTCGATCCGAAAGTTATTTGGGAAGCAAGGCCCTGTTGTGCAACGAACAGCCTCCTCTTCGGATGGGGGGGGGATTCGGACGGAACTTTTGTCCAGGATCTTTAACTGTCGTCGGTCCAAGTGGTTAGTCGAGCTCGACCGAGACCGGACGTGGTGGCCAATTGGAGGGTCGAAGGCAACGGAGATGATACGTGACGCGTAGAAGTTCTACTCTCCAAAAGACGCACCAACTTCCTCGCAACATCAACCTCCACCGAAGATGATTCTGACATCTCGATTCCAGTACAACCCCTCCTGGTTCACCGAGTCCTCAGCCGCCACGGACACATTTCGTTCGGCCGATGGGATTATAAATCACACCTTGTCATCAAGCCTATTTCATCCTTTGTGTGTGTGTGTGTGTGTGTGTTGGTTTTTTAGCACCCCAGACTTCTGGATGCCCAAGACGGGATGGGAAAAAGCAAACAGAGCATGCCTAACTGTACATTTTTCCACAACCAGAGACATAGCCAGACATGGCATGAGCAGTGCATACACAATTGCAGACGCAATGTTATAGCAATCTAGAGTTTAGAAAAGCAAAAAAATACTCAGTTATCTCTTTAACAAAGCTATTTCTACGGTCAAACACATGTTTGTACGTATGCCTGTGTGTGTATTTGCAAGCATAAGAAGTCAAATTAGATCCGGATAACCGCAAACGAACAGAAATTTCTGTCCAAAGATCATCAAAGCTTAATCACACTTTTTGTTCCATCCATAGAGGCGCCTCTCTACAATTACGCAAAGCCGGACCTTAGAATGTCTGAGCTCAAATCCCGAAAGTGTGGCCAAAAATAGAAGAATTAAAAACTATTTCAAGCATACTCATATCAAATTTCAGTAGTCCCGTCGAGTACAATGTCAAATATATGTTTGTTTCATGGAAACTCCCACTGCGTTGGCAAACTGTGAAGTGTTGCTTTAGCATGTCGTCACGATGCATACAACCCATTTCATATCTCTGGTGGGGTTCTGACGGCTGACAACTAAACGAATCAAGACTACAGTCGAATTGAGCTTAAATAATAAAGACCTTCTGAATGAGAGAGTGTAGGAAAGATTCTTTGACTCCTCAAACTTTCCAGAACGACCTAGACTGATCAACCTTTTAATCGACGATATGTTGCTAGAATCTTCTCATTTTTCTGTCATCTCAACCCCTTTTCCGCCCCTAAAAGTCTATAAATCGTGCTCAAATTGTCATTAAAATAGAACCTGTCGAGTAAGATGAAGAAAGGCTGATAGATTAATCTTCTCACAAGCACAATAAAAGACCTTTTATCGCCACCCAATTTCAGATTTCCTCGTCTCCCATAAGCTATTGTGAAAGGAAGTCGTGTAGTTTCGACCTCGTCTTAACTGGCCTCAGTAGAACCCCCAACGGGACTCGAGCCCAAGTTATGATAGTGCCGCGTTTTTACTTTCAACATGTTACAGCCACTCCAAACTGTCCCTGTTGACGTTGAGTAACAGAGTGATTGTGGCTTCCAAGGATGGCCAGGACTGTAGAATTTATTCGAAGAAAATTTGGGTTTCGACAAAGCTCTTGCTTCCTATTTTTATTTCGAATGAAAGTGTACGGTGAAGAAATTCCAAGGTCGAGCCCATCAGAAGACGACGATGGATTCCTTTTGACCAGCTACGGATTGGATTTACATCATCAGAGCTGGTGGTTTCATAATCACAACCATATCCAAGCTGACGAATCAAGAAAGTGATTTAGTTAGGGTTAGTGTTGGTTAGTCACATGTCAACATGGAAGCATTTAATGACAAACTATGGATGGGGCAGACTTAAATTGCAGTCATAATCGGTAACACTACTTAAATCCACATTGAGTATCGATATTGCTCAGAATAGATGTCTTTCTCCCTCTCATCTTTTGCTTTGAATAGCATCTCCAATTTCTCGTTTTGTCTTATAAGCAGGCTTTCGAGACCACCAGTAGATAATATATTTTTTAAAGTGTTTTCACGCTATTCCGTTTAAGATGATGTTGGGATTAGAAATTGAATTTTCCCACAATCAGGCGAGTAGACATTACGTTTTCATCGAATTACAAATAGCCTCGCCTGCCAAAGGCTATTCTGGTCAAGAACATACTACAGTCGCGACCTGGCTTGTGGCATAGCAACACATCACGGCGGGACTCGAACCATGAAACTGCAACGGTTCCTTAGTTTTTTGTAATTCCTTTTTATGTCCCGTTTCCACCGTGCGTTGGGCAAATTCTCAAGTCCACCTCCATTCTCTGAATCGGCATTTTTTGGGGAATGAGAAAACGGTTTCCCCAAATAAATATCATATGAGGTAGATTTCGAAGCATACGTTATGCGAAAATAAGTAACGTAGTTGGTTTTAACGGCAAAATATGGCTTTATTCAATAGAAAATACCATTTAAAATGAGATATTGGTGCTGATTAAGGGACCAGACGAGGTTGTAACTGTAGTCCGGTCCGGCAAACTCATCTTATTGTGGCAAAATTCGGCTGTCAGTCATTGGGTGACTGTAACTCTCCTTCT